GGACACGTTGGGCGAGAAGCATCCGAGCACAGCCGACACCTTCGGCAACCTCGGTATCGCCTACGCCAGCAAGGGCGAGTACGACAAGGCGATTGCGTACTACGAGAAGGCCCTCGCCGTCTTCGTGGAGACGCTGGGCGAGAAGCACCCAAGCACAGCGAACACGTACAACAACCTCGGCCTCGCATACGACAGCAAGGGCGAGCATGCCAGAGGCATCCACTACTACGAGAAGGCCCTCGCCATCAGGGTGGAGACGCTTGGGGAGAAGCACCCGAGCACAGCCACGTCGTACAACAACCTCGGCAGCGCCTACCACAGCAAGGGCGACTACGACAGAGCCATTGCGTTTTACGAGAAGGCCCTCGCCATCAGGGTGGAGATGCTGGGGGAGAAGCACCCGAGCACAGCCGATTCGTATCTGGGCCTCGGCAACGCCTACTACAGCAAGGGCGAGTACGATAAGGCGATTGCGTTTTACGAGAAGGCGCTCGCTATCACGGTGGAGACGTTGGGGGAGAAGCACCCGAGCACAGCGAGCACGTACAACAACCTCGGCAGCGCCTACTACAGCAAGGGCGAGTACGACAAGGCGATTGCGTTTTACGAGAAGGCGCTCGCTATCACGGTGGAGACGTTGGGGGAGAAGCACCCGAGCACAGCTGACACGTACAACAACCTCGGCAGCACGTACGGCAGCAAGGGCGACTTCGACAAGGCGGTTGTGTGCTTCGAGAAGGCCCTCGCCATACAGGCGGAGACGCTGGGCGAGAAGCACCCGAGCACAGCTACGTCCTATGGCAGCTTGGGCGTCGCCTACAAGCACAAGGGCGAGTACGACAGGGCGATTGCGTTTTACGAGAAGGACCTCGCCATCACGGTGGAAGCGTTGGGCGAGAAGCACCCGAGCGTAGCCACGTCGTACTTCAACATCGGCCTGCTCTATGACAAGCGCGGTGACAAGGAGCAGGCCTGCGCCTACATTCAGCACGCGCTCGACGTTTTTGCGACCACGCTCGGGCCAGACCACCCACACACCCTCAAGGCGGAGCGCAACCTGCGGCGCATTCGCGGTGGTGCTGTGACTAGGCAGCACACATCCACGCAACACGTGTCAGAGTCTCGACTTCAGCAGCAACACGTGCTTGCTCATCGCAACCTTCTTCTTCGGTTCATCTCTTCTGCTGTCGTGTACCAGTCGTCTGCTCCACAACGCAACCTGCTCATGCGGTTTCTTGGTGCAGTTGCACATGCTGACGTTGACGCAAGACGCCCAGCAAACACAGGCAGCGACGGTGAGGACAAGAAGACAGGGACTGGGCGAGATGCTCCTCGTGGCTGCTCTGTACCAGCAAGAGCGGTGTACAAGGACGCTTGTAAGTGCCCAAATGAGCCACTGGCCGGCTGGTTGCGGAAGCGTGGGCAGTGGAACACCGCCTTCCGCACTCGCTGGTGCAAGCTTGACGACGACGGCCACCTCGCGTACGGCAAGTCCCTGGCAGAACGTGGGCGCATCCCCCTTTCCAGCGTGCTATCAGCTGAGCTCGCTCATGGTGGCGAGGAGTTACACGTTGCTGTTCCCGGCCGGACCTTCGCCTTCCGCTTGCACGCGCGCTCTGACACCTCGCTCGCTGACTGGTGCACCGCCATCAACAGTCGCATCAACGCCACCACTTGACTGTGCGCTGTGTGTGTGTGTGCTGTGTGTGTGTGCGTGTGTGCGTGTGTGTGTGTGTGTTGCTGGTTTCTCTCTTTGCTCCTTTGCTCCTGTCTTTCCTTCACGTGCTTGCTTTCCACTTCACTTGCCTTGCTTGACGTTGCTTGTTTGACACTTCAGTAAACTCTTCACGCAATCCATCCGGCTGACAAGCAACGAGCATACAACCTACCACACCACACGTCAACCAAACACTGGCTACCAAACAGGTCCTATTTCACCCCCACATCCACGCCCACAACGCCCGCCTTGCGCATCAGCAGCTCCAGAGCGCGGCTGGTGGAAAAGTGGCTCCATTAGCACGTTCGAGTGCGGCGGCATCGGCAACAGGTCGGCCGCTCAACGTGCACGACGCCCAGCAGCCTCGTCAGAGAACTGGGTTGCCAGACTGGACTCGTTGTCCGTCCATGACCGTGCGGAACAGCACGTCGTCGCCATACGCCCACGCCAATCGGGGATGCGCCCAACTCTCGTGCTGCACCTCCGCTACCGTTAATTCCTCCTCGGGGTTCAGGTTGCCCGTCCCCAGCGACAGGTCCCACCATACAAAGGGCTGCAGCGACATCAGGAACGTGAAGACGTCCGCGTCGCGGCAGCGTGCTTCCGCAGCCCTGTCTCCACATCGGTCTTGCAGCGCACAGTGCCCGCGAACTCGGCGGCAATCCCCGACAGCAGCTTCAGCTTCGTCTCGAACGGCGCCTGCAGCGTCTTCTCGTTAACGACCACGTGCATGTCCTTCGGACGAGAAGCTAGAGCGCGCCACCCGCGTTTGGGGCACACCCGTCCGTCTGCGCAAACCACAATCGTGTTGACGTGTGTTGTTGTGCTGTGACGTGCGCTTGGGGGTCCTGGCGGACCCACACGTGCCTGCCAGGGTCGGCGAGCGACCTGAACCCAACCGGCCGTCGGCGGCGGCGGCTCGATGGTGAGCCCACCATCCCCGTGCACACATCCCGACGGATGTGCTTGCTCTTGATGGTTGATGGTTGTTGGTGCTGGGGGGAGGAAACGACGCCACGATAGAAGGGCAAATGACTGGGCGTGGACGTGGAGGCGTTGTGGCAACGGAGCATGTCAGCTGAACACACTTGTCGACATAGATGAAGTGCAATGCCTGCAACAGTGAGGAGAGATGGTTGCCTGTTGGACAGGCGAGGAGACGGGTGAGTGATGGATGAGAAGGAGCACGACAGGTACACACGGGGGACTCAGGTGAACTGCAAACAAGGGCGCAAACGCACGCAAACATGCACACACATGAACACACGCACACATGAACACACGCACGCACCGTCGATGGAGATGTCTGCGTCGTTGGCAAGAGCAAGCCAGGTGTGGGTGACGGTAGTGGCGGCGATGGTGTCGATGCG